TATATATATATATATATATATATATATGTGTGTGTGTATATACATACATTTACTTCGTAGAAGGAATGGCAAATAATGTAACGCGTTATTCTTATCATTACTTTCTATAATAACGATGACATTACAATTCTTTTATGACTATAACGATAACTAACTGCACATTAAAAATGTCCTAAGTTTGGAAAAGTCACTTTTAAAAATAACTTTTTATCATTACTTATTTAAAAAAGTTACTTGTACTGAGTAACGCGTAATGTATTCATTATAAGTAACAAGTAAAAAGTAACGCAATACAAGTGACAGGTTACCTTTTTCAGTAACGAATGATTTTTCCATCTCTGATATTACCGTTATAGTCATAACAATTAATATTCGTCATTACTAAATCGTTATTATAACAAAAAAAAACGATAAGAAAAGTAACGGCGGCGTAACGCGTTGCTTACCATCTCTGCTTTATGATCATAGTTTTAGTGAAAGACACAACAAAATTTTTTTCATTAAATGCAGATGTACACAGTCCAGATTCCAGCGAGTCAATGATTGTCTCCATGTACTCTATTCTGATCTGTTAGGAATCGATGCAGATTGCGGAAGACAAAACAGATTAGTCTTAGTGCGTCAAGGAATAACAACTGGAGCTAATGAATACGAACAATATATATGGATAATAATGTAATTTTTTTAAAAGAATTACTATATGTGCACATATACACATAATACACATCGCGAGCGAATTTGCGGGTGTGCGTGTGTGTATGTGTGAATACTAAAAAATATTAATTTCACTGTGTGAAGTAACCATACATCGTGGATCAACCGCAAATTACAGTTTCAATCAAATTTTATGATAATGTTTTGCTTAATATTTCTCATATGACTCTATAGTTCAATTAATTAGAACATTTATGATTCAATTGCAGGCATGTCCATCTACAGATATGCCTTATATCACATAAACTAAATAAAATATTTAATGTACAAATATTCCTTCAAATGATGCCTATATTTATGTTTAATATATGGATGTGCTGCAGTATGTATATCATGTATATAAACAGGACTGATGAAGAAATAGTTAAAGAATTTCCAATCACGGCATATTATTATTTACATATCATTATAAGCAACATCTTAATTCTCACATTAAACTATATATGTCAAACTGTTTACAATGAGGTATAGTAGAATAAAATCATTAATAATTAATTACTATAATGAATAACTACAATTATATATATATATATATATATATATATATATA